TGTAACTTAATTCATTCTAATTAAAGCGAGCCACGGATTTGGCAATAACAGGCCCTTAAAATTTTTGCTATAGATCGACTACAATGTACATAATATTTAATACATTTAAATCAAATTTAGATCAATTTTAAATAGCAGAAGTGGATTTAAGGGGAAGGGGTGGTAAAAAAAAATAAATAAATAAAAAATAAAAATTGATTGCCCAAATGCATCAGGTTATTTTCGGGCGTCTAGAAAAGACAAATTTCCTCTAAGATGGTGTTATCTTGATCGGACCTACTTTCGGCCCCCCCCCCTTCCCCTTTCCTCCCCTTTTTTTCGGCCCGGGCCCTCCTCTTTCGGACATCTCTGGATTTTCCCCTGAATTGGCCTGCATGCCAACAACTAAAGAACATAGGCTATTTATTTTCAACATTGTTCTGTGTATATCATTTGAATTTATTCAATTTCAAACGAAGGAGCGCTGATTTTCGTATAATTTTTGTAGAATTTCAAATGAATGTACCCACTGTTGTCTTCTAATCGGATTAAAATCTGGCCGAATTTTGGCCGATATCGAAAAAAAGTTTGGCCGAATTTGGCCGTGAGATGGCGTGTGTTTGGCCGTGAAGCCTGTCGACTATTTGGCAACCCTGGTATGTACCATGAGGCCTAGATTTTGTTATATTATTACTGTATGGCAAAGTAAAGGTAAGAATTGAAGAGTTACGAGTGTGTATGCCTTAGTTGGCATGGGTACGAGGGTAAGCCAAATGCCACACTGTATAGAAGGCCAGCACGAGTTGTCGCTTGTTTAATGTCTGCAAGGATAATTTGGTCCTACCATATTCATATTATAGGCTGTCTAATTATACTGTAGGGCCCACAAATGTTAAAACATTGTACCCGCAAATGTCAAAATAACCACAAATGTAAAAAACTTTTGCTCACAAGTGTGAAAATCTGTTTAACCACAATAACATTTGGCCTACAAGGAGGAAGTCATCCAAAGTGACCTTAGGGTAAAAGGTCTAAGTCTGCAATCAGCTCTGGAAATAGAGATCTGCTATTAAATGAAGAAAAGTCCAACCCATGACCAAAATGTACAAGGATTTTAACACTTTGGCTGCCAGCAGCAAGTATACTTGCCCACAAGGTGTTGTTGAGGGCGTCAGGGCCAAGTATACTCATCAAAATCGGGGTAACATTCTAGCATTTATAACTTTTTTGTTATACATTGTAGAACCACAGACTCAACAGCTGGTAGTTAGGGGAAGATGCACCTAGACGATAACATACAAATGACGTATGTATGTTTGTTGTGTTATGTTGCCGGCAGTACACTACAGCGGCACAAGTGGGGGTGCCCTTTGAACATATACCAACCCATGCAAAAAGCGAACAAGATAACTCGCACTTAGCATAGTCATAAAAAGTGCTATCACAGTGTCGTCATTTTTATGACAGGCCCTATACGACTAGATCAAATTTTAAAAAAGTACGTTTGTACATGTAAACTTGTTTTGGCACACGGGAAGGAACCTTAAAAATGGGTCTGGCAGTCAACGGTTTAATCGTATATGAGAATGATGATGAAATGTAAAAAGTTTTTACTGCAAATGTAAGAATAGGCTCCTACTAATTCTTGACATGTTTTTTTCTTCTTTTTTTTTTGGCTACTTTTAATTTATCCATGCTTTCTTCGTTGGCAATTAACTTTAATAACTGTACAAGTGACCAAATTGTTGTGACTTTTAAGTGGACTTTCTAGGACAGGTCTTATCTAGCAGCTTTCTGTGTTGGCAATATCTGTGTTGGCAATATCACATGACATGACTTGATAACTTAACTTGAACAGGTCTTATCTACTGTACAGTAGCTTGCATCATATTTTGTAAACTTAATTTTCATTTTTATCTGTAGCTCATCACCCATCCCATCATTCCTCCACCAGATTTACTCTTATTGTACAAGGTTAACTGGCAGACAATAACTGTCTACTGCCCCCTCCCCCACCCCTGTGGCAGTAGACATAAAGTCTCATTGTAAGAATAAAAAATATTGAATGACTGTAATTATCACCACATTTGCTGGTTTATAGTTAAATGAATATGCCTTTCAATAACCTATTAATCAGCATTCTACATTTGTTTTCTTCTGCAGATGCCTCAGAGGAAGAAAGTATCTCAAAAAGTCAAGAAAAAACGTCCAAAAAAAGCCACAAAATACAAAGAACCGAAGAAAACAATTGCTGTGAAAAGTGATACATATGTTTCTAACAGTAACACCTCTGCACAGAAGAATAAAAATTGTCATTTAAAAATGTCAAAAAACAACCAAAAACCAATTGTTCGTAGCAAGAAAAAGGAAATAGGAAAAATTTCATTGAAGTTATTGAAGTTAGTAAATATAGATGAGAAAACAAGGATCTCTTTGGGTACTTGTAATGACATTAACTGTGAGGTGAAGGAATATTCCTTGGAAAACAAAAGTAAGAAAGAACCTCAAATTTGTAATACAAAGGTTGTGAAGGACCAAAAAGGATCTGGAAGTGAGGGAGAAAATGCCACTAGAATGGCAAACTCTAGCCGTAATGTCAAAGGCAGCCCTTCGTATGAAGTACCACCTAAAAGAACCTCACCTAGAAAAAATAAAAATTCTGGAAATGATACTAAATTTGGATCAAAGAACTCAATGTGTAAAGAATCTCAAATTGGTTTTACAATCTGCCACGTAGTGAACGAAAATAATGTACAAGATGACACTGTTAAGATGAACTGTAGTCCTAATGATGAGGGCTGCTCTCAGTTGGGGATCAATTCTAAAAGGACCACACCCAGAAAACGGAAAAATTCAACAACGGAAAATAATTCTGGAGGAAAAAAAGCTTTACTGGGCAGCCAAAGTAAGAAGGAAGAGCCAAAAATTGGTGTTAAACTTTGTCATGTAGTGAGAAACCAATCACAGTCTGAAAAAAATAATGTTCAAGATGACACTGTAAACATAAAATGTAGCCTTAATGAAGAAAGCTGCTCTCAATTACAGACAAATACTAGGAGGACCTCACCCAGAAAACGGAAAAATTCAAAAACGGACAATAATTCTAGAGGAAAAAAGCTTATTCTGGACACCCATGGTAACAAAGAAGAAGTGAATGGTGATGAATTCTGTCACTTAGTAAAGAACCAATTGCAGCCTGAAAATAATGTCCAAGATGACACTGCGAAAGTCAATTGTAGCCCTAATGATGACAGCTGCTCTCGATTGGGGCCAAATTCTAAAAGGACCTCACCCAGAAAAAGAAAAAATTCTAAAAAGGATAATTCTGGATTAAAAAAGTTTAACATCCAAGGTAACGAAGCAGAACTGCAAAATGAGAATAGTAGCTGCCGAGTAATGAAGAACCAATTGCAGTGTAGAAGTGAGGATCAAGATGTAAAGATTAACAATAGTCATAATGGTAAAAGCTGCTCTCTATTAGAAACTCATTCTGAAAGGACATCATCTAAAGAAAGGAAAAATTCAAAAAAGAGCAAAAGGTCTGGAGGAAAAAAACCTGTTAACATCCCAGAAATGGAGGAAAAGCTGCAAGCTGGTGATGCAACCTATCAGCTTTTGACACAATCTGGAAAGGAGGAGCAAGATGATACTGTAAAGACAAGCTTTCTAAATGGTTCTCAAACAACCACACCCAGAGAAAGTTCAAATGATGTAAATTCCAAAGAAAAAAAGGTTATTCTAGACATCCAAGGTACTATATCAAAAATTTGTTTATATTTGAAATAAATTAACCATTATAATATTTTTTATTATAGTACTGGTCATGATTATTGCAAATTATTGTATTCAGCCTGTTTAAAGTGTTAAATAATCCCTAGTTGATTAATAGGTGTTGATGGCTGTGTTTTTCCGATGCAGACTAATAAAGAATTACTATTATTATAATTATAGCATTGTCACAGGATCTTGAAGATGACTCCGAATCAGACGATGATCTTCCTGATTGCTTTGAAAGCACTCCTACAAGTTAGTTTTGTGATCTTTGCATTTAAATTTTCTATTTTTTTAAAAATATATTTTTGTGTATATAATGCATGTCTTTGTTGACTCATTTTACTAATTATTGTTTGTTAAATTCAATGGTGCTGGGTATGCAATGTACCCCTGCACTACACCCCATCTTGCATTAAAATTCTATGTACTGCACCACATATATCCCATCTTGCACTGTCTGCTGCTCCTGCTGGCTTTTAAGTTTACTGTTGAATTAAAATATTTCTAAATGTCAAGCAGAGTTTTTCATTTAATCATTTAAAGGCATTTCCAGACCCCATGAAGCTATAAAACATTCATGACTATAACCTCATTTTATAATGAACCCTTATTACATGTATGTGTAAAGTTATTATAATACCACCAAATTTTACAGTAATTTTCCTGTTTTAGTAAGCCCACCTTATCTTCAACTTGGCTTTGGGAATAGTAATGTGATTTACAACCAGATCTCCAGTTCATTGACTCTCTTGAAAACATGTTGTTTTGAGCTAACCTTGCTTCTAATAACCTTAGAAAGTGTCCCCTCACCACAATGACATTAGAAAGTGTCACCTCACAACAATGACATTAGAAAGTTTCACCTCACCACAATGACATGACACTTGTTGATTTGATTGGGTTTATTCCATATGCTCTTAAGCCTGGTTTCCTGTCGACGTAAAGGTCAGAATTTCTTGCGTTTCATACGTTTCTTACGATTCTTACGACTCTTACGCAAAGTTGAAATAATGCCGACGTCAACGACGTTTGCGTTGATCGTGTTGGGCCGCAGATAAACAAGCAATTTTCAGCCGCTTACGAAAGTTGAACTTACGACGTTAAACTACGACGTTGAACTCCATCCAGAGTCCAAAACGAGCGCTTGCGACTGTTACGTTGAGTTGAATTTTTCTTGCGATACGACGACATAAAAATGACGTAATTTGTAGTCACTTACGATTGGCTGCCTTTCACACTAATCCGTCCTTGTTACCCTGGGTTTTCGCGCGAATATAGGCCTCTACCTCTTTATATTATGAGCTGCACTGTACATGTTAGCAACACGTCTAACATTAACTCAACATGGATTATTGTAAAGAAGTTAGGCCTACATTATTAAAATACAAAAAGGCCTATTTGATGTTTGTAAAATTAATTTTGTTTCACAAAATAATGATGCTTCGAACATTCGTGTTTCATACATTTTAATTCTGGGAAACTGAATTAATTGGCCACGGCTTCGAGGTGCTTGTCACCCAATCTATTTTGAGAGAAAGATTAGGACAAAAAAAAAATCGGTACGCAGGAAAGTTGGATTGGTGGTAAACTTTAGCCCTAATTGACAAAATAGATATAAAACGGTCCTCACTCCTGCTGTATAAATGGCCCCTTTGGTTTGTGAAAAATTTGTTATTTTCATTTTTACTACTCTTCTCATTGAAATTTCGCAACGACCAACTAATTTGTTGCAGTATTATATTATTATACCATCATTGTCGTCATTACGATAATCAAACAGTGCTGCTGAGCTAGTGCTACTTATCCACTGGCATGTAGGCCTATTTGTGTGTAACTACATTTTACAAC